AGCCACGCTGAGTTTCCGGCAGAAGTCCCTGTCGCAGATTACCGTTGAGGTGTGTGTGTGACATCGAAGGTCTTCCCAGCGATTTTTAGCAGGGTCCTTTGTGGCTATCACAGAGTTGCTGGTTCCACTTCCGCTTGTGGAGATGAAGGAGTACCACATCCTTGAAACCCTGGGGGAATCGTCCTCAGCGCCCTATCTCCTATAATAGTTTTGTCCCGAAAACACTTCTTCTGTCAGCCAGGGGCTGGGGGACCACTACATTTGTTCACAACAGTATATTAAAATCTGGAAATTCACGTCGCATATTAGGGATATTTTTCGAAATTCAACCGTGATATCCAGCATATTAAATAGTCTGGTCCCCAATGGGAAAAATGCTCCAACGGAAGTTCGATGTGCAATTGGCTCCCAAAATTCCAGTCATATTCTGACTTTCCACAGTTATTCAGGAAAACTCGAGGTTCGAAAACAGACCAAGGGCTATTTAGCCTTCTTTGGCCATTACTGCCGGTACTTTCTGTTGCGCAGTCGGTACTGACCTGACTCGAGGGGGAGCAGGCTAACACCCAAAAACGATGTCCAACTCTCCCGCCTCTGAGCGACGGACACCAGACAGAATGCTACGGGAGACACGACTTTCCTACAGCCGACACTATTCCTGAGCCGGTGAGCCGCGTGGCGTCTCCGCAGTCGACACTGACTAGCTACTCCACAGGTCCGAGCGGACGCACGATATCCCTGTTCTATAACTCGAACTGTGAAGAGGATTCACCTGACCCTTACGTTGGCTAGCCTATGCTGCAAGGTGTGCATGGTGACTTTGTCATCTCCTCTTTCGGTTTGAGTTATAAGAGTGTGGCATTATCAGTAGTGTAGGTGTTTCGGTAAGGCGTGGTTGTGTAGGTCCACCTGATGGACACAATACTGTGGGGGTTGTGGCTAGGGTTTAGGGTTAGGGGTTAGAGTTAGAGGTTAGGTTTAGAGGTTGGGGTTAAGGTTAGGGGTTAGGGCAACTGTTTCTCAACCACTCAAAGTACAACCGCGCATTCCCGATAACTTTTCTTTTGTACACAACTACTTGACCTCGTCGTCTGTGTGTTCCCCGACCCCACCTGTGAAAACCCCTGTTACCATCGGTTCTGTATTACAGGTGATTGGGGTTTGTTAACTTTAGTTGGGGCTGCATAACCAAATCTGACCCCTATTTCTGACCCATTTTTGCTGTTGGTCCAAAATCCTGGTCATGTGTTTGTTTATTGTTGGTCAGAGGATGTGGTGGCACGTCTAAGTGCGGGTCCGGCCGTGTCAGCCAACTGCACCCTCTCCTGCCTTTAATCTTCTTGATTATGTCATAACACCGAGTTCAGACGGGGGAGGAGAGAGTGCGGTTGATGCTGTGTAAGTCTACCACCGCTATAAATTTATTCAAACACAAGTCACCGTGTCTGCATCTCCATGCTGTGAAGCGCACAGTGGACATCGTCGGCAAATTGTCAGTTGTAACCTCGGACAGTTGTTAAACGTCCCAGGTGTTACATTTTCTACACTTGCGACACACTTAGACAGTCCGCTTATGAATGGAAAAGTTGCCTCCAGTGTCGATAGGCGAATGACTGGAATGAACTAAGTTCCCACAAGTAAGCGGCAGACTAAGCAAATATCCTGCTTATTTGACAGGCAAATCGTGCACGAGATTGAAACGTTAAAAAGGTATACATATTTTTCGGAAAATCGGACATTCTCGTTTTAATTCCATTCTCCTGCCTCCTTTACTTTCTTCGTGACCTCCTTTGTCTACTGAAAACGTTTGATATTGGGATATTTGCTATCATGTCCGAACATTGCTTGCCTTTTGTGCATCTGATAAGTTAAAACAGCGCCTCTAATCAACTTAATATGTAATTTCAGTGAGCGGCATACTTGCTGAAGAAGTTCATATTATTTCAAAGGTACATAATGTTTTTGGATAAAAAATAGCCAAAAATATACTTTGGTGAATCTTAATGAGAAGTACTTAACGAAGTAAAGGGAAGTACTAAATGTCCAGGAAAGAGTCAAGCCTTTGTGTTAGTCTGAGTCCTAAGAACAAGAACTATCTTGTTTGAAACAGGCTAGAAGAAATAAGAAGCTCATGGAGCCAGAAAGCATGTGTTACCAATGAATTAACTATTCCATTTTAGCGTACGAGTTTCACAGTTGTTTGTCTTGGCGAGTATTCTTCAGGTACTGAAAAGCAACTACGTTATTTGAGAAGGGGGAATGACTCATAGGACAGATTTTTTGCATAAATGGCATTTCAAAGAACATGGTTGACTAAAAAGTGTCAGATTGTCAAAGGCACAAATGACCTCCACGTTAGTCGGCATTTAGCTGATCGTGTTGCTTTCTTCTCTTTCCCTGCCTGAGCGTCTTGATGGAAGCCTGGCAAATTTGACCAGATCAGCCGTCGTTAGTAGTCGCCCACGTGGGGCTTGTTTTATTTGGTGGTTCCTCTGCTCTCGCTGCCGGACAATCTCTGGCCGATTTTCGGAAGTTTATTGCGGCCGCTTTGTCTTAGCCTTTTTTATTAACTGCAGTAGTATTTCGTAAGCCGGAAAAGGACAAATTTGCCTGTTGATGGAATCTGCATTTTAAAAGTACATCCTAAGTGTGGGTCGTGGTACCTCCGAGTTCGGGGACCCCATAACGGCCAAACGTATGATCAATTTTTCCAACGTGTGTTCTAAACTGAGGGTTTGAGTCTGGGCTCCGGGTCGACAGTTTGTGTTCATGTAGGCAGGTCTGGCGTCTACCAAAAGACTGGGCAGCGGAAGAGGAATAAGAATTGATTAGTTCAGGGCTGACTAATAAGGCGAACCACTTGCATTTCTAGTAGACTTCGTGCATTTAGCGATTCAACCATGGTGAACGACCTAACTCTCTAGGACAATATCGATATAACAGATTTGTTCTGGTGAGTTATTTCTCATTCTCAAACTATCATCCTTGTACTCTACTGCTGTGTTACTTTCTCAATTCTAGTAGTCAGTCCGAACTATAGTTGTTAAAAGATTAAATTATACATAGGATAGAACGGGGTTGAGATGTTAAATGTTAAGTCCGGAGGAACGGGGTTGAAATGATCCTTGAATGCTAGCACCTGATTTCGTTCAATGACGACGGTATCATCCACATACAGAACCCAGTATTTCGGTCGGTGTTGTCGGAAATCTGGTGACTCCAGCCGCTGCAGGATCGCCTCAGCTGAGTCCCGAAAGCTCTGAACCCGCTGATGTGCTTTTCACCTGCTCATATATCATTAGGCCGAACGTGAATCGTGTATCGAGACAGAACTTCCGAAGTTGGAGT